GATGGATCCTTCATATATCTTCTCCTATACGTTGATGATATGTTGATAGCTTCCAAAAGTCAAGAGGAAGTTGAGAAGTTGAAGATTCAACTAAGAAAGGAGTTTGAGATGAAGGATTTAGGTGAGGCGAAAAAAATTCTTGGCATGGAGATAAAAAGAGATAAACATTCAAAGAAACTCTATCTATCTCAGAAAGAATACTTGAAGAAAGTAATAGATCGATTTGGCATGAATGAGAACACGAAGTTGGTTAGCACTCCTCTTGCTCCTCACTTTAAGCTTAGTGCTGCTATGTCGCCGAAGAATGAAGCTGAACAAGAGTATATGTCAAGAGTGCCATATGCGAATGCCGTTGGTAGCTTGATGTATGCAATGGTTTGCACAAGACCTGATATTTCACATGCTATCGGAGTTGTAAGCAGGTATACGCATGATCCAGGAAAGGAGCATTGGCAAGCTGTGAAATAGATTCTACGGTATATTTGTAATACTGTAGATGTTGGATTGATTTTTGAGCAGGAAGATAGTCAGTATCTGGTTGGTTATTGTGACTCGGATTATGCGGGTGATTTGGACAGGCGTAGATCAACTACTGGTTATGTTTTCACTATTGCAAATGCACCAGTTAGTTGGAAGTCTACTTTGCAGTCAACGGTTGCTTTGTCTACTACTGAGGCAGAGTACATGGTAATTACGGAGGCTATAAAGGAGGCAATTTGCCTTCAAGGGTTGCTTAGAGATCTTGGTATTGGTCAAGAAAATATCACACTATTTTGTGATAGTCNGAAGAATAACAAACTCAACTCCAAATGCAGGCAGGGCTTGCTTTCGTTAAGTGCTTGTATAATTCAATCATACATATATGGAACAAATCTAATTACGAGTATGAGCGATCGGTGTCATGTTCTTTTTTCCTGTTCTATATATTTATTCTACAATGGAATTTATTTATGTTTATTGTGTTTTGTAATAAAAGTTTCTAGAAGTAAATATGACGCATCTATAAACAAGAGGCGAATTTAAGTACTCAACAATCAACATGTACCCTATGAAATAAATTACTTAACAATGTAGAATTCTCAACCAATTCAGTTAAATATCGATTAAAGTTTCCCCTTATTTTTTTGGTTCTTTTTCTCTTTCGTGTAATTGTTTGTTTATTATTGTAACTGAAACGTTGTGCGGCCAATGGAAACTGAAACGTTGAAGCAATGAAAAGTTGTAAACGAAAATGGATAGTCACGGTATGCAAGTTAATAATTACAAAATCTTCCCTTCTATAAACTAGTTGTATTTCCTTAATCTTCCTGTCAGATCTTGGTTTGGCCTTTTCTCGCAAGAAGTTCTACGCCATATTTTCACTTTCACTCGACTGGACACTAATGAAATCATACCCGGAGTTGAGTTTAATAAAGATGAACTGCTCATTTTTGTTAAAGTAAAGTTTTAGTTGATACAACGAAATATCTTAATATTCAATAGGGAAATAGAGCATTTTCTTTTTGTTTCTCCAGACATTTGGATCGGAGGAAAAGCTGTGATGTCTTCTCGAGATAATGTTCTCTCAAATTCTATCAACTGTATTTCCATCTTTTGTAAGATTTTTATTTTTTTTGTTTAAATTTGTTTTCTAAACAGTTTTGTTTTTTTCAGATACTTGAAGAAATGTTAGGATGACTTTTTGTGATATTCAATAATTTAATGACTTCTATAAACTAACATTCAAAAGATCTTTACACGATTATTTAACTAAATGCACCGAAAATCTTTTGATTTTACCTCTTATATTATTTATTTTTATTTTCCTTTACAAAGTGGAAATAAAATAGAATCTTGAGTTCAAATACACACATTTAGCATGAAAACTCTAAAACTGATCTATTCGTTTTACTAATTGTCCATCCTTGCATTAATAAATTATTATCCTCTAAAGATACTAATTAAAGAGAATTGTAGTGCTTTGTTTGCATAATCCTATTATAAGATTGTTAACACTAAAGAGGAAGCAACGGAGAGAAGACTTATATCACATGATCTTTCTTTTCAAAAAATAAGCATTAGCTTCCCTTCCCCAATAGCAATACCCTATTCGAACTTGCTTTACTATTTTATTTCTTACATATGTATGTTTTCCCTAAAATATTTGTTCTTTTTATTGTTTTGCATGTTTGTACGTCTAAGATTAAATATTTTTTGCTATTTTATACTCCACATTTTGTATCTATCTAATATTAACTAAACTTACAAAAATAATATGTTATCGCCCAAAGCGTGGATCAATTAACTAGTAACTAAGATAAGAGAGGTTAAAGTCCCACTAGGTATTTTATAAGAAAAGGTACACGAAGTGTTTAAAAGGGAATTCTTTCCTTTTCCATTTTATCAATAGAGGATAACTTGCATTCTTTTCTTTTCTCGATAATTAACAGTTTATTTATCATAGAGGCTTTGTTTTGAATAGCAAACGCGGACATCCCCTTTACGTGGATAATGCAACAAAGGGAGAGATCGGTCAACACTTTGTATATGGCTAAAATACGTATGGAAGTTGATTTATTTTAGGAGTAACGAGCTGTACGAGAGTTTTCAAGTTTGTTGTAAAATAAAAACTCTATGAGATTTTTATTAAGTGGTTGAACGTAGTTAATATGTTTCATCCAAGAATATATTACATTGGTTGCAAGCACCGATAACGACACTGATCATAATAAAGTGATAGTGTGATACCCCATAACGAAGGGCGTGCCGATGAGAGCGGGCCAAGTAGGACTGACAGACTTCTAGACTGATAAACTTCTGAAAAAGGGACGCAAATGTCACCTTAGGTGAACCGCACATTGGAATAGAAGAGAAAAGTAAAAAATTTTATGAGACACAACATAAGTTCATGATACGTGCGCGTTTTTAGGCTCAATGGTATATAGCGTAGTCCAAGGGACAAATTCATGAGATCTATTGAGCCAAACTGGACAGATAACCATATTTATTAAAATGTAAAATGCTCTGAATTTGATCAACTTCATATTCATTTCAACGTTCATTTTCCTGAAACTATAGAGATTAAATTAGACCACACTATTAATTTGATTAGAGTCATCACTTAATGCTGATACAATTCCAGATCAACCAGTGGAGGTGCTAGCTACTTTCTTTTATAATAATTTTTATAATAAAAAAAAAAGGTGTGAGTCATTCAAAATATGAAATGCTTTGGCTTCATCTTCAATTCTTACGTGTACTTTTCTGAAATTAGGTCAATTTATTTATTTAATTAGAGTTCTTAGGAAGCAGGGTCAGAGCTAGAGTTTTAGTTATAGTTTCGGCAGAACCTAATAGATTTAGTCAAAACTTCGTATTTATGTTAAAAAATTTGTTTAAATATAAAAATAATTCATTCAAAATCTAATAAGCTATATTTTCTAAAATCCAAAATTCATATGCTCAAAATTCTGATTCCGCTCGGTTGGGAAGCAATTCTAACCAACTCAACCCACAGGCTGGCTGGACCAGCTTCTTAGTGCTTGTATAATTCATCACATATTGAGAAAATTAATTACAAATGTACAACATGCGCGTTCTACGCCATGTTCTTTTTTTTGCTTGTTTTATATGTAGTATTTATTTTTTAAATCATGCATGTATCCCTCATTTTCTCTAATGTAGTACTTTTAACAATAATAATATATTCAGTGTGATTCTATAAATAAAGTCCGGAGAGAGTGAGGTGTATGTAGATTTTATCCCTACCTTGTGTGAGGTATAAAAATATTTTCGATAGATTATCTGCTCAGAAAAAGGGTTTTCAAAATAAGTTTGAAAAATATAGAAGTAAAGAAATTAGGATAAAAATACTAGAAAAAGTATTCACAATAAAATTAGTAAATATATCCAAAGTAAAAGAAACAATAGTAGTAATAAAATTAAAGAATAAGATAATAATAGAATATAATTTTAATACTGATAATAAGGAGAAAAGGGAGCAGATAAGGTGCTCTAAACTAGAATCATGCTCTTTCACGGAAAAGAGAAAAATTGCTCGACTACTTACTAACTTTTTTCTCTAATCTTCGACCTCTATGCTCTACTATATATCTAGGGTCATGTCCTCAGTGGCTGAATATGTGTCATGTCCTATCTAATCACCTCTCCCCGATTCTTTCCCGATCTACCTCTACTTCTCCTTAGACCTATCATTGCCAACCTCTCGCACTTCGTCATTGGAGCATATGTGCTCCTCCTCTTCACATGTCCGAACCATATTTGCCTCGCTTCCCGCATCTTGTCCATCACGGAGGCCACTCCCACCTTGTTCTGTATATTTTCGCTCCTAATCTTATGTCTCTTAGTATGCCTACACCTCTGTATAAGCATTCCCATTTCCGCTACTTTCATCTCTGAACGTGTGAGTTTTTGAGTGGCCGACACTCTACCTCATACAACATAGTTCGTCTAACAATCACTCTACAGAACTTACCTTTAAGTTTTGGTGGAACATTCTTAATTATCACATAGGATATAAGATGTGGGCCTCCATTTTATCGACCCGCTCCAATATGATTTCTGACATCATCGTTTATCTTTCTATTTTCTTGAATTATTGACCCAGTATACTTAACGCTTCCTCTCTTGGGGATGACTTGTATACCAATCCTCAATTCCACATCAGCCTCATGTAAAGCGTCAATGAACTTGCATTCCATGTACTCTATTATAATCCTGCTCAACATCAAACCTTTAAACTCTAACGTAGTACTTCATTTCCAAACTATATACGAATGAATTTATATTTGTTTGTTGTGTTTGTAAGAAATGTTTCTAGAAGTAAATATGAAGCACTATATACAAATGACGCAAATTTGAGTACTCAACATGTGCCCTAGGAAAAAAAAATTACCCCCTTAACATATAGAATTCTCAACTAATACAGTTGAATATCAATTAATTTTACCCTATTATCTGTTTTTGTTTTCTAAAGCTATAAGAAAAAGACCAAAAAAGAAGAAAAAAATAAGAAAAGGGGAAAAAGGAAAATCAGTTCCAAAAATCCAAATTGTGAATAATCCTTGAAGAAGTTCAAAGAGAAAGAAAGAACTACCATTCATGGAATTACACGTACTCCGAATTTTCTCTGCATTTCCATTCACTTCTATTCCCAAACACAGCCGAATTCTCTCCAAATCCCACTTCCCTATTTCTCTCAATTTCTCAGATAGTCCACAATTTTCATTCAAAGTGGATTGCCAGAAGAGAAACGACGTAGTTTTTGATGATGCAGCATACGAGGCGGAGCGTCACAGACTCGACGCCGAGGCGCATAAAGCCATGGCTGAAACCTCCGAAAGAGAGACCCAAGACCAAGAAGATCCGAAAGCTTGGAAATGGGTTATCCGAAAACGGATTTGGGACTTAATGGAAGCCCAAAATATAGCCCAATTCCCAAGGCCCGTTCATCATCGGATACCCAATTTTCTTGGAGCTTCAGTTGCTGCTAATAAGGTTCACAGATTACCTCTTTATGTGTTGTTTGTAAGAAAACTGAAAAGGGATTTTAAATAAAATAATTAAGTGAATTGTTTAGCTAATTTTATATTTTATTGTTTAATGGCAGTTGAGTGAATTGGAGGAGTTTAAAGGGGCCAAGTGTGTGAAGGTGAATCCAGATACACCACAAAAGCAAGTCAGGTTTCTCACACTTGATGGTGGGCTTTCACGAACTTATCTTTTTTATTTAAAAAAATGTTTAAAGTTTTGTTTTTTTCTTCTTCTAATGAGATGATGGTTGAATATTTATCTTTAGATTCATGAATATTTTTCTATAAATGAAGAGTGAAAGAGAAAAAAATTAGTATAGCAAGACTTTTGCATAGTTCTTTTTTACTACGGATAATGTAGAGTTATGAGCACTGGATTTGGATAAATGCAGTTTGAATTGAAGATTATGATAGAAGTTAGTCAAAGTAGTATTTAAACAAATTATTTTATATCCAACTTTAAGGTCACGGGTTCAAGACGCCAAAACAGCATCTTGCAGAAATGCAAGATAAGTCTGCGTTCCCTTCCCTGGCGCATAGCGATATCATAATGCACCGGGCTGCCCTTTTTTAATTAAAAAGCACTTTCTCAGAATGTGAGTAGTCAAATTCAGTATGTTTGATCTGGTTTAAACTTTTAGACAATATTCTCAGGACACAAATAGACCCTTCTCCAGCTTTGTCCAAAATATAGGCGAAATAGAAGATCATGAAATGAAATGCAGACCTTATTTCTTGAGATAGTAGGAATAACTTACTCTTTGATTAGTCTAAGAACCTATCTCTTACCGTGATTCATAAATTTTCAGTTCTAATGTCAGATTTTGTGCAGTTCAAAATAATATGAAGTTCCCTCTTTGACTTATAATTTGACATTGATTCACTCACCACTAGATCCAATTTTTCTGTAGGAGGGAAGAAGCTATTGACACCGCAGCCTCGCCTTAGGACAGGTTTTTTCTCNAATACCTTACTCTTTGATTAGACTAGGAACCTACTTTAGCTCTTACCCTGATTCATAAATTTTCAGTTGTAATGTTAGATTTTGTGCAGTTTAAAATAGTATGAAATTCCCTCTTTTGACTTATAATTTGACATTGATTCACTCATCGCTAAATCCTATTTTTCTGTAGGAGGGAAGAAGCTATTGACACCGCAGCCTCGCCTTAGGACAGGTTTTTTCTCTGTACTTGAATCTAGTATGTTATCTCCTGGTACCATTAAGGAGGCCTGCACCTCTGCTGGAGTTGCCAAATATGGACGACCAATTGGATTGGATGAGAAAATAAAGGTGGATTTGATTGTTATTGGTTCGGTTGCTGTTGACCCCAGGACAGGTGCAAGACTTGGCAAAGGAGAGGTCAGCCTGTACCAATTTTTACCTGTCTACTTTTTCATCCTAGAAGAAGCTAGGTCTGGGAATTGGGTTATGTGTAATAAGAAGAAGTGAATGAAAACCCCCTCCACTTAGCCATATTGTAATAGAACATGAATAGACTGTTCCCGTAAAATATGATAATTTTTGTAAGATCTGGTACTTTTCCCACATAGTATATTGTCTGATGTTAACTTCTCTGCTGAAAGTTCTGCTTTTATATTCTATAGAATGGTTGATATTGAATATTACCCTCTTTAGCTTCTATATCATATACCCATTGGATGCACAAGAAGGCTCGTATTACTATTCTAAATAATCTTCTCACAGTTGCATTATCTAAGAAGAGGTAACTGAAAATTTTACTAGTAACTATAGTATACCGAGTCTCATTATGTGTAGGGATTTGCTGAGCTTGAATATGGCATGCTGAGGTACATGGGTGCCATTGATGACTCAACACCAGTTGTCACTTCTGGTACATTCCTTTCAAGACGCCTTTCTTCATCAAAGTTTAGCCTTTCGCACTCTTAAAATGCAAACCTTGCTTGTTAGTTGATCGAAATCAAGCTTTTATTTCCCCCCTGTTATCGTGGATGACGAAATAAATAAATTTGCTTGCTTGTCAAAATTATGGAAGGGTTGTTTCACCAAATGAAGGGGAGCAGTCACTGATGTTTGCATTAGGGTAGGCTGCCTACATCACACCCCCTTGGGGTGCGGCCTTTCCCGGGTGCACTGGACTGCCCCTTTGGTTGTTTCACTAAATCTTGCATATGCTAAACTGATGTTCATTCTCTTTGGATGGCTTCCTCAGTTCATGATGAACAGCTAGTAGATGACATTCCTGTTAATAAGCTATTGATCCATGATGTGCCTGTTGATATAATATGCACCCCAACCCAGGTCATATTTACAAACACATCCATCCCAAAGCCTCAAGGTTAGTGGACTCCGTATGTATAATTGCTATCGTCAGTACCTGAAATCTCTTCTTGTTTGTGTGTATGTATCTCCGTTCGTGCTTTTCTTCTTATTTTCCCTCTCAGGTTCTTGTTATTTTAAATGTTCATATTAACTGCATATTTGGAGCTTTTCACATCACAGTGGCTCTATGGTGATTGCAGTTGGCTAACCTTTCTTATGATCATGCAGGGATATATTGGGAGAAGCTCTCTCCTGAAAAGCTTAGTCAAATTCGAATACTCAGACAGCTGAAAAGTAAAATTGAACAAGAAACTGGACAAAAGCTTCCAACTGGCCCTTCTGAGAAACTGCCACCTACTGCCCAGCGGCGACGCTGATATATTTACCTTTCCTTCAAAATATGAAGTTCGACAGGAAGTAAATTGTGTTATGTAGCCTTGTGTAGTTTTCTTGTACTTATTTTTAGGTCCAAAGCATACAACAAACTGTAAAGTCATTTAATAGCTAATAGACATACGCTGCAATGGTGATGTAAAAGAAATTTTCTTGTAAAGACAAACTTTTATTTTCATAAACCAAAGGAATTGTTAACAAGTAAACCATCTTAGTATTACATGCATTGCTGGGGAAGACTACAGTTATTCTCAAGTTTGAGACGAGATTAAATAACATCCCTTTACTATCCCACCTATACGTCTCTCAAGTTTACATAATTGAACATAAAACGTCTCTACATTAAATGTCTTCCCATTTAATTACGCTCTTTCACATAAAATACCAAATCAAGACAAGTCTAGCTTTTCTCTCCTTGCAATAAAACAATAGCTCTTCTCTAATTACTCCACCCATCTCCATTCTCCTCAAACAATTTTTCTTTTGATCTCAGATATGTCACGACCCCAATTTCCCTCCGTAGGATGTCGTGACGGCACCTAGTCTCTAAGACTAGGTAAGCCTAATAACTATGCGGAATAACTGAATATAAAGCTGATACTCAAACTTCATCATCTGAAATAAATAAAAACTGCGATTCACAATAGTTACAACTCCTAAAACCCAGTAGAAATAAGTCACAATCTCTAAAGAGAAATGCTAAATATCTTTATACATCAGAGTCTAAAGAGAATAAGGAAGACAACATAATAAGGATAGAGGGGGACTCCGAGGTCTGCGGACGCTGGCAGATATACCTTGAAGTCTTCACACACGGGCTAGCTCACTGATATCTGGTCTGATAGAAAGAACCTGGATCTGCACAAAAAGATGTGCAGAAGAGTAGTATGAGTACACCACAACGGTATCCAGTAAATGCCAAGCCTAACCTCGATAGAGTAGTGGCGAGGTTAGGTCAGGGCCCTACTGGAATAATAGGAAAAACAAGGCAGGAGATATAATAATGTAATTAGATGACAGAGAAGTGTAACAATAGAAATTCACATAAGATAACAACCCGGAATTCAAGAAGATAAATACAACACGTAAGGAAACAAGAATCTTACAAGTTAAGAAAAACAACAACAACAACAACAATAACAACAACAACAACAATACAACAAATAGAGGTAAACAACAGGGGCACTCCCGAGGTACCGCCTCGTAGTCCCAAAAGTAAATATCTCACAACGGCACGACAGAAACCCCGTGCAAACAATGATAACCGCACGGCAGAAATCTCGTACAAACAATGATAACCGCACGGCAGAAACCTCGTGCCACAATAACACTCTGCACGATAGAAACCTCGTGCCACAACCAATCAGTTATCTCAACAAAAATCACGAAAACAACACATAACAAATGGAACAATGAAATCACAACAAGGAATCCTACAATTAAAGAATGAGTACGAAATCAAAGGAAACAGGTAATTCAACTAAGCATGTTGCACAAATTACAAGTAAGAGATAAGACTCGTAGACATGTGACATTAAGATAAACATGTTGACTACACGTGCTAGAGTAACTCAATTAAAGGAATAAAAAGGAACTACTCAACAAAAACCGGATTTCCAACATTTAGCCCGAGTACACACCCGTCACCTCGCGTACACGGCCTTCACGTATTGCAATTTAACATAACAGTACCAAATCCTAAGGAAAATTTTTTCCACACAAGGTTAGACAAGTCACTTACCTCAAACATCGCTCAATCAATCAATAAGAAGGCCTTTCCCTCGATTTTCCAACTCTGATCAGCTCGAATATAGCCAAAACAATTACATACTATAAATATAACTATAAGAAACTAATTTAAATAATGAAACTACGACTTTAGCAAAGAATTGAATAATTGCTCCAAATAATCGATCTGGGCCCACGTCTCGGAACCCGACCAAAATTATAAAATCCGAACACCCATTCGATATCGAGTCCAACCACACAAGAATTATCCAAATCCAACCTCATTTGGCCTTTTAACACCCAAGAATTTGGTCTAAGAACATTACACCTTTTTTCCCAAATATTTCAACCCAAAACCTTAATTAAATTGAGGAACCGAAGATAAATTTGTGGAAATTAATCAAAAACAATTCAAGAATCAAAAACAATTCAAGAATCCTTACACAAATGTTTCCTCTGAAAATCTCTCAAAAATCTCGCCTCAATCCGAGCTCCCAAAGTCCCAAAGTGAAAATGAGAGCAAACCCTCGATTTTGAAATTTAAGTTCTGTTGCCAAGGTGTTTACACTACGCGATCGCGGAACTTCACATGTGATCAGGTAGAACAAAGTAAGCTGCCCCCAACAAAAAGCCCTACGCGAATGCGGTTGGCACCACGCGATCACGTGCACCACTACGCGACCGCATAGAGCCAAGCGCCCACTACCCAGGTCCTCTCTTTTTTCACTGCAAACGCGGCAAAAGCCACGCGTTCGCGATTCACTGGCCCATGCAAGCTTCGCGATCGTGGATGCATTCGTGTGATCGCATAAAACAAAAACCATGACTGCCAAACTCAAACCTTCGCGATCGCGATCGCGTCCACTCTTCCGTGATCGCATAAGATGAAACTAGAACTGGAAGAACCAGAGTTTCTGCAACTCCAAAAATATTCTGAATGCGCCGAACATGCTCCGAATCGCACCCGAGGCCCCCGGGACCTCAACCAATTACACCAACAAGTCCTAAAATATCATACGAAATTAGTCGAGCCTTCAAATCACATCAAACAACGCTAAAAATACGGATTGCACATAAATTCAAGCCTAATGAACTTTGGAACTTCTAACTTCTACATACAATGCCGAAATCTATCAAATTACGTCCGATTGACCTCAAATTTTGCACACAAGTCACAATTGACATTACGGACCTACTCCAACTTTCGAAATTGGAATCCAACCCCGATATCAAAAAGTTCACTCCCAATCAAACTTTTCAAAATCATCCAACTTTTCAACTTTCGCCAATTGACGCCGAAATGACCTACGGACCTCCAAATCAATATCCGGACACGCTTCTAAAACCAAAATTACCCTACAGAGCTATTGGGACCGTTGAAACTCCATTATGGAGTCGTCTTCATACAATTCAAACTACGGTCAATTCCTAGAACTTAAACTTCCAATTTAGGAACTATGTGTCCCATTTCACTCTGAAACCAAAAACCAAACCTCCCGGCAAGTCACGTAACCACATAATAAAATAGAGGGAGCAATAAATAGGAGTTCGGGGCTAATACTCTCAAAATAAGCAGTCGGGTTGTTATACGATATTAACTTTCCAAATTAATAGTTCAATAAAATTAGAGAGAACTTGAAAGCCGTTTTCTTCTTCCTTTGCATCAAATTTCAGAAGAGACTTTAAATTTAACAAAGCTCTTAAGTAAATTTTGCAAGCTGATGAATATGTCTCGTGGGTTAAGCAAAACATCAGAGGAAATTTATTAGTTCTCGCATCAACTAAAAGGATGTGTTTGATAAAATAAAAAAAACTCTACTACTATCACAATGACTTGTATTCCTTTGACATCCCTTTATTTTTTTGGGTCTTGACTTTGCAAACAAATGCGCTTTTTACGAGTCTCATAAAACAAATTCTTTTCTTTTTTGCACAAAATAAAGAAAATATTTAAGTACGTCAGCATCAAAAGAAAAAAAGATTTCAAATTCTATTTCAACAGTGTCAAAATTCAGCAATTTGATTTATCAGTGCATTATGCTCATAAAAATTTACTCACGTGTCTTTTTTTTAAAAGTGATTGTAAAATCATATTTTTGTTTAACCAAAAAATGTAACTTTCGGTTAAACTATTTAATTTATATGACAAGGGATTAAATCTAGTTAAGGATAATAACTCTAGATACTAATCTTGAAGATGTACAGTAGATGAGATAGACCCCAGGAATGATTGACCACAATAAATGTAAAATATTCTCAAAGCATGAACATTGATGGATGTATAACTAACAATAAATGACAATAAATGACATTTAAGTAAATAGGGAGAAAGATTAACCCAATAATGAGTTGGTTGAACGAATATTTCTCCTGACAAAGCTGAATGACAGATAGGTCCGAGATTCGTATGAACAATCCTCGGATCTGGTGGAAAGGTGGGAATAATATGGACAAGAATCTTTATCAAAAGGTAGACTTTGTATATTTGCAAGAGAGAAAGTCTTCTTCTCAAAAGTGTTCTTATCAAAATCAATATTACATGCCCTTATCATTATCTCCTCTTTCTATATATATGGGGCATTTTTCCTAGGAAACCCTAATAGTACAAATGCAGGGAATATTCACTAGAATATTCACTAGAATATTCCCTTTTAGTACTCTATCCTTACAAATTAGCCGTTACAAGTCTTATCATCAATAGTCAATCTCGACCTCGACCCTTGTTGACATCTTGACTGTGATCTTCGTCGATATCTTGACCACGGCTCATGTCGGCACCTCAGCTATCGACCTCGCTGCGTCTTGGGCGAGCTCGAGCGATAACTTTCTTTAATGCCATATTACGCTAAATATTCTGAAGACATATTTTGGCCTATACAGTTAGTCCCTCCGCTTATTAAGGCCGAGCTTTGACGGCCTTGATGAGCGGACTCTGTTTGTCTTAGTTGACGAAATTGGGTGAGCAAGTTGGGTAGCAGCGCACTTTTCGTGAGTTGCAAACTTTGGGGATGCATTGTTTCAGAATGACGTCATGACATCATGCATCATTATGACGCATTTTTCCGACGCTTTGCATCGTTTCTTGTGCCTCTGCCATTTCGATACCTGCGTTGAGTAATGATGGCCTGATTTTTCGGTCTCGGTGCTTGAACTCTTATAAATAGGGATCTGAGGCAATTTGTGTTTGTTTTGCATTCTCTTAATATCAAATCCCCTGTATTTCTTTCCTTCATGCTTCATACTGAACCCTAGTCTTCTTTTTTCTCCGTCGTTGCGTGTCCACTCTCCTAATTCCAGCGATCTTCGTTGCTTCCAAATCCTATGTTTAAAACATCCTTCTTCAAAAATATGGTTAACGCACCCTCTGGCTCCGGTATGGTGGCTAACCCTATCCCCTTGACGGTACGTATGCCTCCTCACGACGATGATGTTTCTGTTTCCCTTGAGGATGATAGATTTCCTACGGTGAACGAAATAATTCCTCGTAGTCAA